TAGTTGCATCGACAAGTATTTTCAGGAAAACAACTTCATCAAGTGCCCTCATGAACATGCTCTTTACGTCAAAGTCAAAGATGGGGATATTTTGATTGTGTGCTTATATGTGGATGATCTAATCTTCACCGGGAGTAATCCAAGCATGTTTGAAGAGTTCAAGAGAGTGATAACCAGAGAATTTGAGATGACCGACATCGGGTTGATGGCATACTACCTAGGCATTGAAGTCAAGCAGAATGAAGAAGGCATTTTCATCTCCCAAGAAAGCTACACAAAGGAGATAATGAAAAAGTTCAAAATGGACGACTACAAGCCCATAAGCACACCAGTGGAATGTGGAGTCAAACTAACCAAGCATGACAAAGGAGAAAGCGTAGATCCAACATTTTTCAAAAGTCTAGTTGGAAGCTTACGCTACTTGACTTGCACCAGACCAGACATTCTCTATGCCGTCAAATTAGTCAGTCGCTACATAGAGAATCCCACAACTACACATTTGAAAACCACCAAAAGAATTCTTCGATACCTCAAAGGTACTGTTAACTTTGGCTTGTTTTATTCAAGTTCTGATAACTACAAACTTGTTGGATATAGCGACAATGATTGGGCAGAAGATTCTGACAATAGAAAAAGCACTACTGGATTTGTGTTCTTCATGGGAGACATTGCATTCACATGGATGTCAAAGAAGCAACCGATTGTCACTCTCTCTACCTGCGAAGTTGAATACGTAGCTGCTACCGCATGCATCTATCATGCAATTTGGCTGAGAAACTTGTTGAAAGAATTAAGAATGCCACAAGAAGAACCAACATAGATCTATGTCGACAACAAGTCTGCAATAGCTCTAGCAAAGAATACAGTATTCCATGACAGGAGCAAACACATAGATACCCGTTATCATTTCTTAAGAGAGTGTATTGCAAGAAAGGATGTGCAAGTGGAATACGTGAAGTCTCAAGACCAAATCGCAAACATATTCACCAAGCCACTCAAATAAGAAGACTTTGTCAGACTGAGAAACTCAATCGACGTCACAAGACAAGATTAAGGGGGGATGTTGTATTGTAATCTTGTCTTGGCCCAAAGATAATTGATCCGGCCCATACACAAAGAAAGATCCATGCACATGCTAGAGAATTCTAGCAAAGTTCAAGTTGGTGGAAGAGTCTAGAAGAATGGTGAGGATTCCACCAACATACAAGATTAGTGTAGAAAATTCTAGCTTAGGAAGGTAGTGAAATTATCTAGATATCTCTAGCATGATGCTTCCATGCTTCTCCAAGGTTCCATCCATGCCTATAAAAGGAGAAGACATCCACACCATTTGTAACAACCAAGAGAGCAATTAGTGAGAAGTGAGAGTGCCAAGTGAGAAGTGAGAAGAAGCAACAAAGCTTCTAAGAGTGTTTGAGTGTTTCCTCTTGTACTAAATTTGTGAGTGAATAAAAAAAAATCTTGTGTAACACTTTGAGTATTCTTTCTTTCTCTTGCCTATCAAATTCTGTTGCATTACATTCTCCTTTGTGAGATAAACATCTTAATGAAGCATTTTTAAACCCCAACAAAGAGGTGGAGAGGTACTGATCAAGTTATAGTTTTCACTTTTTACTTGTGGAACTGTGGAAGTTAAATCTTTTTTAAGACAAACGTGACCTATGTTTTTGCATTTTTCAAACATGCTTAAAAAGGTCGTATGAGTTCTACTAATTATACCTAGTTCTGCATATCATGATATACGCGCTGTTTACTAGGCCGCGACGAATGTGACATATCCTAAACTTAAAGCAAACTTTTTGTTAGATATTGATGGGTTTAGTTTGTGTACCTTTCTTTGGTCACGTAAGAAATGATTGTTTCTTTTTCACTGAATGTGGCAAATGATTTTCTCTGGTAAGTTAGCTGCACTTCTGTGTTGCAACTCTTAGTTTTGCTTTTTTGGTTGGGAAAGTTGATTATACCCTTCATTTATGTCATATTTTCAGGGTAGGCAACAATAAGAAATCTGAAGGGAGTCACGGCGGTGGTGCCGTCCTCGGTGAGCACTTTCATTTACAAGGAAAAGAATTATGTTAAGCATTTGGTGGGGGGCACGGGGTTCTCAGTTTGTGATCAATGCTTAGATGCAAGTTCCGAGTTCTTCAATTACTTTTATATGAAGGTTAATCGTTGGAGTGCAAAAAAACTCACCTTGTATTCCTTAGCAAATTTGCTTCTGTAGATACCAAAGCATATGGTAAAAGAGGCCACCTGAGAAACTGTTCTGCTTCTGTAGATAACAAGGGGATTACAAAGCTCTTGTTATAATTTAACTTTTGGGCAATTACCACTTTACTACTCTTCAAGTTTTGCAGATATCGCACTCAACTACACTTGTTTTTTTCCCATCACTTCCATACATAAAAGTTTGATTTTTCTGTTACTTTACACTTTCCCATCAGTACACCAGCATACCGAGCGTGCCAGGCTCCTTACGTCATGCAATGGTTTGGTGTGTTTAAGTGAAGAAGAAGTAGAAGTTGAAGCATCAGGTTCAGATTTCAAAGATTGGCGTCTTTCAAGCTATCTTATTTAGGGGAAATTTTCATTATGTCTGAAATATAGGATGATATACTATGTGTCATTATATAGCTGGGGAAAAGTTTTATTTTTGAAGTGTCTTAGCATTGTTTAATGACATGTGATGTACCACCTTGTGTTTCGAGCACACTAAAAACTGTCTCAATATAATTAAGGGTAAATCTCAGTTTACTACCCTTAAGTTTCGTGGTTTTCAACATTTGGTACATGAAATTTTTTCGTCCCAGAGTCATACCTAAAGTGTTAATTTTGGAACAGTCTCATACATCCGTTAATCTAGTTGTTAAGTCTTCTATTAACTGATGACATGGTGCCCATGTGGATAATAATTGGATATCACGTGTCATTAAGGGGACCACGTGGAAATTAAAAATTCAAAAAAAAAAAAAATTCCCACCCAAATTTTTAGCTCATAACTGTGTACTGCCTTCCTTTTTTTCCCGCCAATTTTTTTGAAAAAAAAAATCAAATTAAATGGGGAAAAAACCACAACTTTCTATTCCAAATCTGCAAATTCAATTCCAAACAAACTTTCAATTTGCTTTCCAAAAAAAAAAAAAAAAACCTTCAATTCTAAATCTGCAAATTCAATTCCAAACAAACTTTCAATTTGCTTTCCAAAAAAAAAAAAAAAAAAAACCTTCAATTCTAAATCTGCAAATTCATCCTTTAAACTACCAACTACCAACAAAGTTCACAATAAAGTTTCAAGGGTTCACAACACAGTTCAATTGTCAACAACTTTCAATTCACAACAAAATTCAATATTTCAAGTTGTACACCCTCCAATTCACAGGAAAGTATCAAAATACCACAACTTTAACAACTACCAAAGATTTGTCCAAAACACTAAAGATCTATCCGAAAGTTGTTTCCCAAAAAACTAAGGGCATATTCAACTATAACAAAATGAACCCTTAAACAACCTAAAGCATTAAAGCAGCATCATGAAACATTCTTCCTCCTTTTCTGACCTCTTGCAGTAGACCTTCAAGCATTAAAGCAGCATCATGGAGCATTAAACAACCTAAAGCATTAAAGCAGCATCATACCTTTTCACAAGTCATGCCACTTTGGAGTTAGGATTTTCCCTCCAAATCCTCGGACATTCATGTTTCCCAACATAAGTTTTCACTTGCATTGAATCTTCATTGTACACCCTAGAAGCATACAATCTCCATGGACAGTTTTTCTCACACCTTGCACTAATCTTTCATTTCTCATTCCTTTTTAGCTTAATAGAAGGTGCACCATGCTTAATGGAGTGAGACCACACTGCCTCTCTCAACTGTGCAACATCTCTGAACTTCAATCCCTTTTCAAACTTTGGATCATCCATGTCGATTTTTTCATTGAACTCAGGGTAGATGACATTCTCATCACATTCTGAACCTGAATCATCAAAATTGTGTAGGCCATCTGAGTCTTTTATCTCATCATCAAGGGGTATGTCTTCTACATCCCTTGCATCAATAACTTCTTGATGTTGGTTCCCAATCCCTTCACCCCTTTCAACATCTCTAATCATAGTGTCTACAACCATATCATCTACTGCATGATGATGATCATCTTCCAAACTATAGTCACTGTCCACAAACTCACTATCAGTAATGTCATCTTCTGCGTTTACTGCCACAAACAATGCATATTTGTTAAAAACCTAAACTTTGCAAAAATAATTGAATATTGAAATTAAAATTGCAAAAATAAATGTTTCAAAATGTTTACCTTTATTAGCTTCTAGTTCAACCCCTTCATTAACTTCTTCAGCTCCTTGACCTTCATCACCTTCATCACATTCATTATCAGCATTGAAAGGACGATCTTCAGCCTCATCTCCACTTCCTTGTCCTCCCTCAGTTGCTTCAGCCTCATGCTCATCATCACCATTGTAGGCTATGTCATTCAAAAGACATAGTCGTTTTTCCAAGTGATCAGCACCCCATTTTGCTTTACCCTTCTTCAGTTTTAGTTGTAATGACACATGATGTATTACACGATGTGTTTCGGACACACATAAAAAATTTATCCATTTGAGATGTATAAGAGAGAATAATCAATTATTAATTATAAGAAAAAAAATTAAAGAGACCTATAACTAATAAATACAAATCATCCCTACCTATTTTACATTGCAATAATCAATCTTAATTAAAGTGCTTGATTCCTACATATAGAAATGAAACTCACCTATACTTATGTGTAACTAGGAGTGTTAAGGGCGTTGTACACGTATTAGATGATTTCTTCTTTCTTGATTACCATTTGACATTTGTCATTTGCCAAATACATGCAGTTTATACGTGCCAATTTAGCAGGAAAGAAAAGTTTCCACAACAAAACATGCAGGAGGTGGTTCTTCTCTAAAAACACTATATCCCAGTGCTCCGGAACTTTCCCAATACCAGACACAAAAAATGGCGAGAGAAAAGAAAGGAAATCCAAAGAAAAGAACAGAAGGCAGTGCAGCAATCAGCAGCAAAAACAAAGAGAAAAGAGAAGGATGCAACAAATTCCTACAACTTCCAAAGGCTTTGATCGTGGAGATTCTCTCAAGGGTATTGTCCATCAAAACCCTCCTGAATTGCAGGTGCGTTTGCAAAGAGTGGCTTTCTTTAATTTTCGACCCCGAATTTACTCGTCTCCACGCTTCAAGATCACCCATTGGCATCTTGATCAAGACCTATCCCCCTATAAGAAAATCTAGGAGACTTGATTTCACCCATATACTAGATTCTGCTGGTTCTGATTTGCAGCTCGAGAAAATAAGGTTTAGTCCCAAAAATAGCCTGCCCATCGGGGCCATGCCCGAATTTCGCTTGATAAACTCATGCAATGGCTTACTTTGCTTTTCTGGAGCTAATAGAGATTACCCCTGTTTTGTGTGCAATCCGATTTTAGGTGAGTATATTACTATCCCACATACTGATAACACTCGACATCGAAATAGTTGCTTTTTCGTTGGACTTGGTTTTAGCTCCGCGATGAATGAATATAAGGTGTTGCGAATGACCAATGGGACCGAGGCTGAGGTTTACACCATTGGTTCGGGAGTGTGGAGAAGTATTGGAAATGCTCCTGGGGACATTGATCAGTTGCCATTCAATGCTTTTCTGCATGGAGCGCTTCATTGGGTTTCATATAGTAGTAAAAGTCCCGAGTTTATACACTCTTTCGACTTTGAAACAGAACAGTTTCGACCCCTACCCGTCCCTAGCTTACCCGTGAATCAATTTTCGGATTGTTTCCTTTTGGAAGTGATAGGTGGCTGTCTCCATTTGTGTGTGTTTGGGGACGATTGTAGTAAATTTGACATGTGGGTAATGAAGGAATACGGTGTCCAACAGTCTTGGACTAAAGTTCTTGTTTTCGAAAAACTGTATGATTGTGTAGAGGAACTGTGCTGTGATGTGTATGAACCAATTATGTATTTGAGTAATGGGGAAATCCTGATGTTGTACAATAACCGCGCTGTAGTTTGTTATAATGGAGAAAGAAAGAGTTTCAGGGAAATAAAGATTACTTGGACTCAGGCGCCCTTTGAGGCCATTGCCTACAGTCCATCCTTTGTTTCACTCTACAATGTCTCAAATGGTGAAGATATGAAGAGGTACTAAGTTTACATTCCAAATATAGACATGTAGTAATCTAGTTACATTTCTTTACTGCGACTTTTATTTTTTGCTTTCTGAGTGTGGAATTTAATGTTTCTTGGGCAAATCCAACCTTCGAATTTAATGTCTAATTATCTTCTTGAGTCCTTAGCACTTCTACATTCCTAATAATATTTGAACACTTTTGAGAAGAAAAAGATAACATGTTATTCATATTACTCATAATACATGTAACAAGTTCACTGCCTATTATCTATTGACACATTAAGAATACAATTTTTCAAAATTTCTCATCATGAACCAACTGGGGTAGCCCATTGGTGAGGGTGGGTAGGACGATGAGCAGGAGTAGGTTAAGTCAAGTGTTCCACGTACCAATGTATGCTTGATTTCTGTTCAGACGAAATTGACGATCAGTTTTTTGTTGTAGCATTTTGTTATCTAGGAATTTGAAAAAATAAACGGATGCTTCAATAGTGGTTGAGACATTGGTCACTGATACACTCTTTTTGGCATGCTTACCATGTGTGGCATGAAGGGTACAACGACATGAGAAATGGCTGTTTGCTGAAGGGAGTTACGATTCTGCCAGTTCTAGGATGCCACCCCGAAAGTACACAAAACTGAACTCAGGTTGTGGCTGTCCTTTTGGAGAGGATCTTCCTTGAGCCGTAAGTTCTTCAGTGCGTTGTCATAGTTCCTATTATGAATCTGTTTTCTTGTGCCTGTTTGATGGTTATTTTATCGTTTTAATTTCATTTCCTGAATGCATGCTGAATGATTTTGTTTCTTTTCAGCTGGATTTCACTGAGTGCATTCACTCTATGTGATCGGCACTTGAACAATGTTTTGAGTAGCTCTTCTTCGATCTCTTCCACAGCAAATAAAGAAGAAGACTGCCTTTTTGTTAAGTAGCCATCAGAAAAATTCTGCTTGTATATGCAAGTGATGGCTTGTCTAGAGGACAACGGCGATCGGAAACTTTTGTTAACGTCTGTTCTATAGTAATGTGTAAGTGTGAGCCGGGGGTTGCCCATATGGTAACGTCTGTTCTATAGTAACGTCTCTTTTGTTAACGTCTGTTCTATAGTAACGTCTGTTTTGTTAACGTCCGTTTATTCGTTCCTTTTCCCGTTGCTTTTACCTGAATGAAGAAGCTTTCTCTTCACCTCTTCCTTATATATCACACGAACTAAGACTTAATGTGTTTGAGCAAAAAAAAAAAAAAAAAAAAGGAAAAAAGAAAAAAAAAAAAAAAAAGACGTACTTTGTTAAATATTTGTAACACATTTGCTCGAAAATTTCAGTTATCAACTGTATTTTGATCCACTGAAACAGATTTACGATGATTACAAACTAATTTCATTCAGCTTTTGGAGCTAATTCTTAATTCTCACTTGTAAGATTTTTACCACCCTCAAAAGTAAGAATAAAAACACTTAAAATACTTAGTACAAGGTAATTGTAGTATAGTCGACTCTAGCAAAATCATTTTTCACCGGAATTGAATGAGTAATTTAGGTTAAAATCAATTTCTTGATAAGATTTTTACCACTTGCAAAAGTAGGGATAAAAAACACTTAAAAAACTTGCAAGAATACAAAGTAATTCTAGTGTAGTTGACTTTAGCAAGGTCGTTCTCCATAGAGATTAAATGAATAATTTATGTTAAAACCAAATCTTAATTAATTATTTGAAAACAAATTTTAGAAAACATGATTTTATAACCTAAAATATTAAAAACGAATTTCATTAAAAATAATTAAATAAATTGGTAAAGTAAATAAAACAAAAGAAAATAGTTTGAAAATCTATTTAAGCATTAGGGTTTTGCCACCACCTTAACAATCCTACGTAATTCTTCCAATTACTTATAAATTACTCATACATATTTTGAAGGTTAGGTTTTCCTAAATATGTCATACTTGGAACCTCCAACATAGAACATATATCTAATCCATAGTGTCTAGATCGAATGTGAACATGCATGACTCATTAAGTTTTGTGAAAACCTTTTGAAAAACCATATAACCCTTAAGACGTGTCGTTCATCCTAAGAAGTTTCACATATTAACCACAAGAAACCTTAGTCAATTTTAGGGACAGTCCTCCGTCAAAATTGCATTAAATTATTTTTCTAAATATCCTAATAGTGGCCAATCATCAAGACAAATAGATGTTACAAACACAATGATTAATAATTCAAAATCTGCATGCATAATATCATTAGCAAATTGAAAAGAGACTACATATTATTGCTAAGGCTCATGGCCTCACCCTAGCAAATGGAATTAGTTACGAATAATCATAAAATAAAATATTATTAAGAACATGGATATAAAACACCTTGAAAATAAACTTGAATCGTCAAAAGTTCTGTAAGCTGAATTCTCCAAAGTAGTGCGTTCTTCCTAAAGTAATGCGTTCGTTTTTAACTCTTAATGGCCAAATAACCTTATTTAGATTTGCTACAAATAAAATCCTATCTAAAAAAGGTTTTCTAAAAACTAGGAAACATAATAGAATAAGATAACTAGGAAATACATTCATATTCTAACTTTGGAAAATCTGCCCAACCACAAAGAATCACACGTTTCTGGATCTTCAGGGCTCCAAAACAAGCCCAAAAGGGCTAGATATTATTCATTCTTCACCCAAAAGAACGGCACATCCTTCACAGCTTTGTTGATTTACTTTGATGATATTGTTATTACAGGCAACAATTTAGATGCCATTAATGCCCTCAAACGGTTTCTTCATACCCGTTTTCGTATTAAGGACCTTGGCAATTTGAAATATTTTATGGGTATTGAAGTTTCTCGTTCAAAAAAAGGATTGTATATTTCACAAAGAAAGTATGCCCTTGAAATAATCAAGGATTGCTGTCTTTTGGGTGCAAAACCCGTTAGATTTCCAATGAAGGAAAGCAAACTTTTGGATAAAGGCAAACTACTTAAAGACCCATCTCCGTATCGAAGATTGGTTGGACGCTTGATTTATCTTACCGTTACTAAACCAGACATCACATACTCCGTGCATGTACTTAGCTGTTTTATGCATCAACCGCGTCAGCCACATATGGATGCAGCACTTTGAATTGTGCAATATTTGAAGTCCGCACCAGGTCAAGGCTTATGTTTCCAGTCAAATAGTAATAAGTTAACTTGAGAGCTTTTTGTGATTCGGATTGGGCCGGTTGTTCGATAACTCGTCGCTCTACAACTGGGTATTGTATATTCTTGGGGAATTCATTGATTTCATGGAGGACTATGAGGTAAAAAATGGTTTCGCTCTCTAGTGTTGAAGACGAATATAGAGCCATGGCTAAGACATGTTGCGAGCTCATTTGGTTGCGGTTATTTGTTAACAGATTTGCATGTACCCATTTCAGGGCCTGCTATTATGTTTTGTGATAACCAGGCAGCATTGCACATTGTTGCCAACCCTATCTTTCATGAGAGAACACGTCATATAGAGATGGATTGTCATTTCATTCGGGACAAGATTTTAGACGATTTTATAACTACTCGATATGTCAGTTCTTCTCAACAATTGCCAAACATATTTACAAAGGCCTTAGGCAAGGAAAATTTCTCATCAGTGTTGTGCAAGTTGGGAGTTCTTGACATTCATTCTCCAACTTGAGGGGGAGTGTTAGAAAGTCAATGTAATTAGATAGGAAGGAATTATATGATTGATTTGTATTTGATACTTTCCATTGATGTATTCCTAGATTGTAGGTCTTCTTGTTGTACAAGGAAAGCTATTGTATATATTTTGTATTCTATCAATGAAAGGATTATTCTGGCCAAATACGTTTTCTACATATTCTCGATTCTATTTCGTTACATAAGATATGGGTTGCCTTTTAATAAAAAAGTTAAAGTGGAAAAAGGTGTTCTTTGTTTAAATATGACTTCAGGTCATCGGCGTTGTGTGTCTTGCTGAACTACAGAACATTACAAAACCTCTGAGTTTCATTGAAAGAACTTTCCCCTTGATGCTATGTAGTAATAATCAAAACAGTATATCGACAACAATTCCCAACAAGCTTAATGAATTTTAGTGGTACAAGGATATGTTTATTCAGAAAATCTGCACATTGATTGCAAATACTGTGATCGTTTTGCTATTTACATATCGGAATGAACCTCTTTGCAGTGTTGTCGCAACTTGCGATACATATTTAAAGTTGGATTTAATTCAAGCTTTTGGTTAACTGTATATGCATTTGTAAAATACATGGATGTTTTTGGAGGGAGCTGACTTGGTAACTGAATTTTCCAATTCATTGCGGCATGCTTGCCCTACGATATGCAGGAAGTTCTCTGGCAGGTCTGCTTGTTCTCATTGGAATAACCTAAATTCCGATGTTTGGGGTATGGGGTATGGGTTGAATGTTGAATCCCTGTGACTGCTGTTGTTTCTGCCTCTTCATGGTTGAACAATATGTTTCCATAATGCGTCAACAATGTTTTGATGCTGGTTCCTTGTGAAGAGTCTTTCCTTGATCGTGTAAAGGCTGCTGTAATGCTGAAGCAGTTCTTCCTTTTGTTTCCTCATCAAAGACTAGAGCTGCATGCCTCCAGAGACCAAACTGCGAGTGAATGAGCTTTTTTTATTACTTATGTACTCTATTCTCCTCCTAACTTTAACTCTAAGCCATATTCCAAGTTTTATATACAACATGAATTAGTAAATTGCTTTCTGATATAATTTTTCAAAACAAGATGATAATGAGTATTTGTTTGCATTAAACTATGGACTCAGTTCAGTTTGGTTTGGTTCGGTTTACAATTGGATTTGAAATTTTCAACCTAGTTTTTGACTGATATTTTCGGTTGGGATCATATAAAATATGCCGGACCAGACCGTCTGCGTGTTCAACCTTGTTGGTTTACATAGGAGTTGGGTTTCTTTTTCACTACAGTCAAGTAGTAACATATTTCGTGTGCGATGTGTCTTAAAAGAAGAGTATTTGGTGAAATTGAATTCTGTATTTC